GGAACCTGGCTCTCCTCCTTCTGACCTGTGGTTCTCAGATCCTGGACTACAGTAGACGGTGGAAGGAAGTGGGACAAGCACTGAAATAGGGATATGACACCCAGGTGAGGCCTTATAGGGTACATGACCAGGCTTTGGCTCAATAGGGCCCAGAAGAAGGCCATTTCAGACAGTGGACACCACATACACAGAGGGTCCAAGATATGTATGCACATGGCAGACAGATGGGCCAACTTAATTTGTACAAGGCTCTGCTTCTGGAGAGTTCTGTCGGGAGTCAGCCACGTTTCTCCCATCAGATCCCAGTCTCTGCTGCTCAAGGCCTTCCCAGACTCCCCGGTATTAGGTGTGTAACGTTTCTTCCAGACAGGCTGGGTCACAACTGACCTCACAGTATTTTCATCAAAACCAGTGCTATCACTTACTCGTGAGTCTCCCAGGTGGAGAGGGTACAAAAATTGCTGGTGTCAGGTACAATTACCACAAATAGAAGGTGAAGAGAACGATCTGGGAGGTCACGTCCAACCTGTCTTTTGCGGACCCCGGTGGGAGGATTCTGGGATGTGTTTATTTGCTGGCATTCTACCTGGAGCCGACTTACATGTCTACCTTTATACAGCACCTTTCCTCAGAGGAAATGACTTCAGTCGTGCCACAACAAAAGGTCACTGGAAATTTGAGTTACACGGAGATGGAATAAAGTTCAGCCTGTCAGGAAGTTTGCACTGGGACTTAGTGAATATTCCTCTGTGGTCTATTCCTGACCCTCCCAACCCCCCGCCTGCTCCCGTGTGATGCTCCAGCCTCTTCCCCACTTACCTCCATGATGGCCTCGCTCTCCTCCTCCCAGGCAGCTCCCAGAGTTTCCCCAGTGACCTCGACTATCACCTCATCAAGGGTACATGCGCAGAAATCAATCCATCTTCTCCATGCATGGCTTTCCTTTACCCCCTTCCTCGGGTTCCTGCCTTGTCCTGGTGCATTTCCACCTTTGGCTTTGAAAGCTCTCGGAAATAACCCATCGTCTCATTAGAACCTTGTAAAAAGGGACTTGGCAGATGTGTGAGTTTCCCCCTCTGTGAAAATGAACTTGGAAATGATCTTCGTGCTCTCTCTCCCTCTCTCTTTTCTCCAGGCCTGCATGGCCGTCTAAATCTGACTCCCCTCTTGCATGTCTCTTTTCACGCCTCCTTTTCAAGTTTGCTCTGTGCTTTGAATATTTTCCTTGAAAGGGAGCCGCTGCTCTTTCCCTCCAGTGAAATCTCTCTTTATTATTTTCCTCTCTCTTCGCTTGTGCTGCTGAGTTCCTCGGCAAGCCTCTTCTTTCTTTCCTGGCATTTGCAACCCTTTTCATTTTGGAATCACTGGAGAGTTTCCTTAGTGTGAGGTCTTCTTTTGCATGTTGGGCATGAATATAGATGATAATGTGACCAAAGGTAACAAGCGTGCTTACAGATTTCATTTGGTTAGGGGGCTCTGCTTTTAAACCTTTCTGCATTGTTATAACACGTCAAGCAAGCATGGCCTCCCTGCTGTAGAATTCATAGGAGTTGCCTGGGATGGTGGGGTGAGTGCAGGATTTGAATGCAACAGATCCAAGTTCAAGTCCTTGCTGTGCCACTTACCAGCCAAGGTTTTGTACTAGCTGAGTAGGTTACAAGTGGTTACAGATTTGGATAGCTTAAAACAGAAGAGTATCCTCTCGCAGTTCTCAAGGCTATCGGTCCGTGCCTCTTTCCTTGTTTCTGGGTGTTGTGAGCCACTCTCAGCTTTCCCTGACTTGTAGACACATCTCTCCAAGCTCTACCTTCAGCTTCCCATGGCTGTCTTCTCTGTGTCTTTTTGTCCTTTCCTCCTCTTACAAAGACACTGGTCATTGGACTTAGGGCCCATCCCACATCCAGTACAATATCATCTTGAGATCTTTAACTTAATTACATCGAAAAAGATCCTATTTCCAAATAAGTTTACATTTGCAGGTACCGGAGGTCAGGACTTGGGCATATCTTTTTAGGGGCCACATTCGACCCATTGCAATCTTAGGCAGACTATTCTATCTCCGCCTGTTTCCTCAAAATAGAAGTGATATTGCCAACCAGCATGGCTGTTGAGGGAAATAAATCACAAAATATTTGGAAAGCCTTTGGCCTCCTGCCGGGCAGATAGGAAGTGATGAGTAAATATTCATCCCTTTTAAAAAATTCCAGTTAGAGAGGGCCCCTGACTTAAGATGGTTTGACTTAAGATGTTCTAACATTGAGATGTGTGAAAGTGATATGCATTCAGTAGAATCTGTACTTAGAATTTTGGAGTTTGATCTTCTAGTGGTATGAGGGAAGATCCTCTCTCCTGATGTGGGGCAGTGACATCGTAAGCATGATAAGCACAACTGATATGTCCCCATGCAACTGTTCTGTTTTTCACTTTTGGTAGCCCTCAGTAAATCACATGTGGCATCCAACACTATCATAAAACAGGCTTTGTGTTAAATAATGTTGCCCAGCTATTGGCTAATGTGAGTGCTCTAAGCACATGAAGGTAGACAAGGCTAAACTATGATGTTCACTAGGCTTGGTGTATTGAATACATTTTGAACTTATATTTTCAACCTACGATGGGTTTGTTGGTACGTGACCCCATTGTAACTTGAGGAATATCTGTACGCCTTTGATACGCCACTTAAGAAAATGGATGCAGTCTTATTTTACAGACTGGAAAATTAATTTTCACAGATAGAGTGCTGTATTACTATATAAAATGGGTAAATAAGTTTTCCTTGTAATAATTCGTCTACAAGACAAAGTTGGAAATTTGGACAGGAAGGGATTCAGACAAAAAGCCAAGCAGGCCAAATCTGTTCAGTCAATAAATGTTTATTGAGCACTTACCATGTAGCTAAACCCTGACTAAAGAGACAAGGGCCCAGGCCTCATAGAAAGTTAATAAATAATAACAGAGGAAATACGTAATATAATTCCAGGTAGGTATAAATGAAATAGAGAAAAATACAACAGGACAGAGTTGGAGCATGATTGAAAAGCAGGGGGAAAAGTGAGCTTTGAAAAAGTAATATTTAAGGCAAGTTCTGAATGAAGTGAAAGGTCATCCTATGCAAGAGGCTGGGGGATGTACATTCTCAGCAGAGAGAACAAGTGCAAAGGTCCTGTGGCAGATGGAGGAAAAGCAGGACAGCCAGGATTGCTAAAACATTGGGATATGAGGTAGAATTTGGAGGGGACAGGAGATGGATCATGTAGAGGTAAACCAGGGTCGAGATTGGACCTGCCATACGTGCTGGGTAAGATCTAGTAACCAGCAGAGCACTGTTTCCAAGAGTGACAGCTACCATAAGCGACAGTGTGGAAAGGTAGCCAGCCTGGACTGAGTTGTCTAGGTGACACCGAACTTGGCCCTTCTTTTCCAACTCTGGTCTCACTGCTGGCATACTTTCTGCCTACTCTCCAAACTGTTCTCAAACCATGGGAATATCATCATCTCCTGATGCTGGTTCTTGCTCTCTTTTTAGTTTATTCTGTTTTATTTTATATTTTCATTATCTGATAGAAGTAGATAGTAACATTCCAAGATACTTCTGGAAATCAGCACATGCCAAAGGAAGCATTCAGTCTGTCAGTTCCTCCAGAGCAAGTGACATGATTGTCCTTTTATAAATAATTTCATAAAATTACAAATCCTGTTAAGTGAGTTTACTTCTGCTGACAGCTGTTGCTGTCTTGTTCACCTGAAAGCTCAACTCTGTTGTGGGCTTTATCTAGAAGAGGCCCTGGTTAGATTGAATCTCATTTCAGTCTCGTGCAACAGTGCTCAATTTTATAATAACAATAACAATACAATAATAATAATAACAATAAAATTCTCATGGGATAAAGGCAAGCACAAAAAGATAAAACTGGAATTAAGGGCCTTTCCAGAGGGGAAGGAAAATAGATTGTGACTACTTGGGGGAAGGAGCTAGAGTGAAAAATACCGCTGAACAGAAACATGGCAGCTCACAGGAAGCCCAGACTTCCGCGAATGGCGCTGTCTTGCTGTGGTGGAAAGAATTTCGTTATATCCACACTCAGGCGGAATCCTGTCTTCTAAATTTCTCTGGTAAGGCTCCTCGTTCCTGCTGTTGGAGACTCAGTATAGATCACACAGGAATTTTACAAGGATGAGATTGACTTGTATTGATTTAATGTGACACAAGAGCATATGACAACTATCCGCCCTTGATCAAGCTGTGGGACATGGGACGCCTTCCGCCTTCAGTAACATTTATTGAGCACCTACAGTATACGGCTCACTTGATGTGTTGAGGAGGGCGCGGTGGAAAGGAAGACAGGGCCGTCTGGAGGAATTTGGTGTTGATTCTGGGTCTTGTGCTCTTTACCTCTGATCCTTTTTACTTCCTCTCTCGGGGATATTCTAGAGTCACGGAGGCGGGAAAGGGTGCACATGAATCTAATGGAGGTGGAAGTGGGATGGGCTGGGCTGCGGAGGGGTGTTGAGCATGAGGGGAAGCCAGGAGGCCTGATGCTCCACTGAGTCTGGGGACCGGCTCTCCCTTTCCTGCACCTCCCTCCTGCAATCTTTGTTTTACCAAGGGACACTCGGCTGTGATGAGCCAACCTGGCCACAGGGTGTCACAACTGCCCCAGAGACTCCCGGAGGCACTCAGGAGCCGTCTGAGGAGAGGTCAGACCCCAGCAGACTTCTGCCTCCATTGCTGAGGGAGTCGGCCTGGCTGCTACAGGAATCACCTGGGAGCTTGCTGCTGCCAGAGACTTGCCAAAATGCCTCCAAAATGGCTCCTCTGGCTTTTTGAGGCTCCTTGTGTTACAGGAGGGGATGTAAGCGCTGGCTGGCCCCCTGAGAGGGGGAGGGCTGGGGACAGCCTGGGCCTGCTCCGGACTGGCTCCCTTCTAGGCCCTCAGCCACGCAGGCTCAGTTTGCCACTGGAGGAATGGGTCTCATTTATCTGGAGAGGGACACGGCAGAGAGTCAAGCGAGAGTGATTTTAACAACCGACTCTGCTTCCTTCAAGCTGGTGACCGAAGAAGTGGGCCTTGGTGTCTTTATCTGTGAGATGAAAGCAAATCTTCAACTCCGGTTTTGTGACCTGCTGTTTTGCTAGACATTTCAGTTTTATAGTCTTATTTGGCTTTGACGCCTTCCAAAGCAGGAAGAATTCATCCCTTTTTATAGGCACAGAAACCGAGTTTCTGAAAGACTGACAAAGGTCACACAGTATAGACATTTTAACCCAGCTCTGCCTGGTTTATTTGCATCATAATCAAAATGATAATTTACAAACCACACACCAATAGCCCCTGAGTCCTGGGAAACTGGATTTAAGACCTGATGAGAGAAAAGGCACTGAGGATATATTTGAATTAGAGTCTGTGAAAGGGAAATTCTAGATCATTGCGGTGGAAGCTAAATCTGATTCGTGAATCAGTTATTGAGAACAAAACAGGATCATACGTTGGTGGTATGTAAGGGAGAAACAGAAGAAGGAAAACAAATCTCAGTTACGTTTAACCAATATCTAATGAGTTTCTCCCTTGAGAAAGTTACCAGTTAGGGCAACAAAAGACCTCCAGCTCTCCAGGCTGGTGATAATCTGGCCTCACCAATATCCAAACACAAAAGAGAATAACCAGGAGCAGGGAAAGACCAGCAAAGAACTCTTGGAAGACTTTGGAAAGGCAACCAACCACATCCTGTTGGTGGAACTAGGGCAGAGCTGTGGAGAAGGTGTTATTTCAGTTAGATCTCAAAGAAAAATAGGTTGTCAACAGGTAATAATGAAAGATGAACTAGCACATAAACGAAACACATAAACAAAAGTTAAACAAAAAATGGTTGCATTTGGAAACGTTTTATTGGTGGTCTCTCCTATGGAAATGATGGAGCACATAGGGAAGAAATACCTGGAGAAGTTCATTTGGAGGGAAAGAGAGAGCATAGCAGGAGGGGCAGAGGGAGAAGGAGAGAGAATTCCAAGCAGACCTGGCACTGAGTGTGGAGCCCAGCACGGGGCTTGATCTCGCAACCCTGAGATCAAGACCTGAGCCAAAATCAAGAGTCCGACGCTTAACCACTTGTGCCCCCGGGTGGCCCTCAATGAGAGTTTTGAAGCAAGCTAGTGACACAGTTTTTATAAAGATGTCTTTGTCTATTCTGTTGGATGGGTTCTGGAGAGAGATGGGGAAGGCCAGATGCATGGTTGGCAAAACAGCCGTTGTAAGAGGTGACGAAGGCGCAGCCTCACCTGGTGGCAGGGGGCGTGAAAGTGAGGAGATGCTAGAAACACGCAGCGTGAACATGAGGACTTGGCCTCTGATTACTTTAGGGTCTGGGGTGTTGGAGAAAGGGCGAAGGACTAGCTGGGGTTGTGAGCCTCAGTGGAAAATGATGGTGCCATTAAGAGGCAGAAAATCAGGAGTTTGGAAGCTCTGAGAAGACGAACAGGAGGAGGTACGTAAGAGAAAAGGAGATGGAGGCAAGCGGGGTACTAAGGAGGGCTCATCCTGTGGTGGAATGAGTGGGGGAAGGTTAAGCTAAGGGAAGCACAGAGGAACCACCTGTCAAGGGGCAGAGATACAGAAGGAGAGCGTCCTGGCCAGGAACAAGGTCAGTAGTGCCAGATGCCTCCCAGACTAGCAGGACAAGGTGTGCTCATGACAAAATCACCAATGACCGTTGGAGTGTTGTTCAGCGTCGCTGTTCCCTCTGAACACGGGACTGTGTCGGTGCCTTTGGACGTGGAGTGCCCAGGGCTGTATCCCAACCCTCGAGTGCGTCCAGTGCACGGCTGCTGAATGGAGAAAGAACATGCAAGCACGGCTGTTCAGAAAGCTGTAGGCATGGAAACAAAGTTGTTAAAGAGGGAGTGGCTTCTGGGTAAAGCTGACGATGAGCATCCTCTGTCTTTCCAAATAGTTCTGAAAGGGGATGCCAGGGTGGCTCAGTCGGTTCAGTGTCCACCTTCGGCTCAGGTCATGATCCTAGGGTCCTGGGGGTAGAGTCCCGCTTCAGGCTTCTTGCACAGTGGGGAGTCTGCTTCTCCCTCTGCCTGCTGCTCCCCCTGCCTGCTGCTCCCCCTGCTTGTGCTCTCTTTCTCTCTGACAAATAAATAACTAAAATCTCAAAAAAAAAAAAAAAGTTCTGAAGGGTGAGACAAAAGCCAGCTCTGCAGTGGGACGGTCCTTCGCAAACTTGACAACGAATCACCTGTAGGCATGTCATGTGGACTGCTGGGTTTCTGGTTCAGTAGGTCTGGGATGAGTTCCCCCCCTCCTGATTTTTGCTCTAACAAGTTCTTAGAGGACCTCCATTCTGTTGCTCTAGTGGCTACACTTTGAGAAGCACTGAGCTAATAAAAAGATCCCTGGATATTCAGTTTGAAATCCTAGATGGAACCCCAACCCATTCTCTTCTTGGCTGTTTGACTTCTTTCTGTGCATATTTGCTCGTATGCACGATGAGGAGCATGGGGTGTAGACCGGAGCATTAAAGCGAGTCCTACCTCACAGTATGTAGTTAAAACACATTGGCTGAAGCAAATTAAAAAAAAAAAAAATTAGTAAGACAGAGACCAGTTGAGCTTGAGGAGGTAGCATACAGGAAGGAAATATTTTAGTGTTGCTTATTTAAGAAATGGGGAGATCTGTGCATGTTTGCGGACAACAGATTTGGTCTGAATCAACTGATTTCTGTGAAATAGCATGTGATTTCAGAGATGGCTGGGTGAGCAGGACATGGGAGCCTGAAGGCAAGCTTTATCCTCTCTCCTGGACAGCGTTAAGCAGAGCACCCAAACCACACACATTTAGAAGGGGAAGAATAAAATGAAGCACCCTTTGAATCATCCACAGATGCAAAATTTGCTTTCAATAAAAGCCAGATAACCATCAGCTTGGTCCAAGGTACAAAGGTTTAATTTTTTATGTTCGCATTTAGTCATTTTTATGATATCGGCTTCCCAGCTCATTTCTGAATAAATCCATGCAGCACTGAAACAAATGCCAAAGAAAGAGAAAAACCCCTCTCAGAATTTCCCGTCCATATTTATAGTGAGTTGACAGATACTGCATTTTCTTCATTCCAGGCTCTAATCAATTCATGGCTAAAAGGCGGGGGGGAGAGGGAGAGAGAGAGAGAGAAAAGAAAACAGATGATGAACAATTTGTACGGGGCTTCTGGTCATTACCTTCCTGTTATAACTCTTATTAGTGGAACAAATTAGCATTACATTAATAAATACAAAGCAGAGAAAATGCCCCAGCCAATCTAGAGGGTTTATATAGCGGCAGATACATTGCTCCCATTTGCTTGCTAAATCCAACATCTTTAATTTTTCACTTTAGCGCTTTGAAGATCCTAGAAGTTTCTCTTTATATAGGATCTCCTCTGTGGTCAGGAGGTGGGTCATGGGGTGAGGGGCAGTAGGTCTATGTCTGTCTAGCTGCCTTTATGTCTAAGGAATACACTATGCCTTGCTTGTGGGCCTTGGGCATTGTGAATCCACAACCTTTGCATCCTTGTTACCCTCCTGGCTGTTGGTGGGACTCTGGCCCGAGCCCTGACAAAGAGAACCAGCTTGTTCTAGCACAGTCTATGGAACTCAGCTCTGACAGGTCTTGTCACTGAACTACCAGGGACTTCTGAATGACACTGCCCTCAGCAGTGGATTAAAATGGGGACCGAGCAGAGCAAGGGCCTTCTGGACTCCACCCCAGATTTAGAAGAAGGGGATTAGGGCCAGTGGTGCCAAGGCAAAGGGAGGGTAGTGCATACTGTGCTTCTCAAACGTTAATCTGTGTGCAAACCACCTAGGATTTACTAAGAAACACAGCTGATTCTACAAGCTGCCACGGATGCAGACACCGGTGGTCTATGAACCAGACTTCGAGTCACCCTGAAATTCCCTGCTCTTGCCCTGGGATAAGCCTCAGCGTCCTTGGTGTAACTCTGTCATCCACAATAAGAACAACTGGACCTTTGCTTAGATTGCCGCATAGCTTTTCTTTCAAAGCGGATGAAAATTAATCAGCAGGATTGAAATCTTGTATACAAGGAAAACCTCTTGATTTTTTAATTTAATTAAAAAAAATTTTTTTTAATATACGGAAGCAAGAGAGAGCAAGAAGCAGTAACATTGTACAGTGAGAACAGTGGAGCTGGCTTGTTCATTCCAACTCTAGTTATTAATTTTCAGGAATGGCTTCCTTGTGTCACAGGTTCCTAGGAAGAAGTGGGGGGAGACCTGGATATGGGGAGAAGAAGTCACAGGGCACTCTTTTTGCTCTGCTTAACAAATATTTCAGGCTTTAATGTTAGCAACAGCCTTGACAGGTCAGTAATATCATATATCGAAGATAAAGGAATTCAGGGGGACTTAGAGAGATCTGGAGAGAGTGAGTGACGTGCCCAGAGCCAAGTTCGCTAGGAAGACCTATAGCCCGTGTTCCTTTATTTATAAAGAATGCTGTTTCTGACTTAACTCATTCTTTGAGACCTATAGTTTAATTTGAGCCCTGCTAAATTTTTTATTTATCCCTTTTGTCATTTCCCATGAGCCGTGTGTAGTTGCCTGAGTACTAGAACCTTCTGTACAGATAAACACATTTCCTTCACGAGAGGACAAAATGTTTTGCGGTCTCTCAAGAGTCCCCAGGGAGATGTACAAAAATGCTATTAGGGAAGCGAGAGGGTCCGCTGGCCTCTTCCAGCCACCCTCAAGTCCTAGATCTCTTTCTGTCTGAGCTGCTGTCTTTCCACAGAGCTGGTAGCCTCCTTCTCCTGCCTCTGCCTCCACCCCATGTTGGCCCTTCTTTTGTTGAGGATTTTCAGAAACAAATTGTCCTCCCTTGTTGCCATTGGGTTCCCTGCTTTTCTTGGTTTTGAAGGTTAATTGGGTTTTGAACTACATGCGGTTATTCCTGACTAAGGGAGGAAGTTAGGTGGACCCCACAATTCATTCAAATCAAGCAGATCTTGCTCCTGGATGTCAAGATTCCTGACATCCATCCTCACAAGCACGGTAATCACCAAAGCTCATCATATCTGTTGGCCCAAAGGCTGCTTCAACTCACCTGTGATATTCTTTAGTTGAGGTCACCTAGCAGTAAAGGAATTTGAACAAGTGTATGACTTACTACTGCTTTTCAGAGGCAGGTGCCACATATTTTAAGAGTGTCTTCCACAGCCTCATATTGTTTTCACAGTTGATTTGCAAAAAGATTTTGCTAATTCTATTACTGATTTCTTTTTTATCTTTCTATTATCTTGGAGATTGTCTTGCTCCAAACTAACTATCGTTTGCTCACTTGCACTGCTCAATTATTAACCAGTAAGCCCACAAAACAAAATAAAACAAAACCCAAAAAGCCCTATTTGAAGACAAATGGATGAGAACTTTCTAGATTTGCTGAACATTATGAAACTTACCAGTAGGTAGATATAATCAAGTCTTCATATGACAAGTAAAAATAAGTCTACACAGACACATTATAGTAAAAAAACAGAACGATGAAAACAAAGAAAATATCTTGAAGGCAACTGGAGAGAAAAAGTGGATTATGCAAACACCATTTAGTACTTATAAAGAAGAGGAACAAATATAAGAAAGAAAAGCTGGTTTCTGTAACAATGAGTTGGTGGAACTCGGATGAATTATTATTACTTTCTGTGGCTTGTCACATACATACGAATTACTGTCTATAATTTAAGATATGTCAGTTTAGTTCTGTGTGTTTGACTGTTCCATGAATTACTATTTATGTAATATGGTCACATGCTCCCAATTTAAAAGGAAAAGGGTCTTGGTTATGGAACACGGTAGACTGTGACATCTGACGCCATGGACCATCTTTTATGAAATTTATATACCGGAATGTGTTTAGCAGAATGCAGAGCACATAGTGAGCTCCCAACACATAAATAGGGCTGAAAGAAAATTAGAATCCTTGACTGTCAGCTGAATTCTTATTTAAAAATTTCCAGGTCTTTTAGATAGATATTCCATTCTAAGTGGGACAAATTACTCCAGGAGAGTAAAAAGGACCATTCTGTGACATCTTGGAGAAAAATCTTAAAACTTCTTTCTTGTATTTAGAACATATTTTTAGTCAGTGTTTTATACAGTATACTGTATGCTACATTTGTACTGTACTATATGTGTATGAGTTTATAAATAACCCAGCACACATAACATGGGGTGCATACTCAAATGCTAATAGGTATGCAAAACGAAAAGTATTTGGAATGCAAATCAATACCACTATGAGATATTACTTCACACTCATTAAGTTGACTAAAATAAAAGAGACAGACAATAGCAAATGTTGACATGCATGTGGAGAAATTGGAGCCCTTATCTGCTACTGGTGAGGATGAAAAATGGTGCAGCCACTTTGGAAAACAATCTGGCAATCCTCTAAATTGTTAAAAATAGAGATACCATATGGCCCAACAATTCCACCCCTGTGTATATATGCAAAGGAAATGAAAACATATGTCCACACAAAAACT